TAGGTTAGTTGAATGACTATCTTGAAACTTACATTTGGAAACTCATTAGAAGATTGATAAAATCAAAGCTTCTCAACAATAAGTTTCATTTGCTTTTTGTCAAGTATATCATTCATTTCAAGTACTCAAAGCAAGCATATATAATTAACGATGTATAAATGATTCACTTAGACCAAAATTCAGGAAAGTTCATTAGAGGATTGATAATATCAAAGCCTCCTAACAATGAAACTCAAGGTTATTGGATCAAAGGTTTCAAATTAAACATACTTGGACTTGCAAACATAGGTTTGGGCCACGAATGATCATTTTTCGAATTGGGACAAATTTTGCGCTATGTTAAGCAATCGTAAGTGGACTTATATAGAAGTCACACCTATTTTGAGGTCGGTCAATAGCAATCTATGTACCACATGTTAAAGAAATGATATATAGATTATTCTCCAGTAACATGTAGCACAATTAAGAAAGGGATAAGATAAAGAGAGAAGGGATGTATCAGATGAAATTAGGGTTTCAAATATCATCAACATCATTCATCCATTTTGGTGGATTTGGTTTTTCAACCTATCAACACCTAAGATCCAATGAGGTTGAGGAACTTGTCCCAAAATAAACACTCAAATATGGACCAAACAAAAATAATAAAATAATATTCAATGAAATAATATTTAACTGATTAATAAAAGGGAAATAATAGGTAAAATACACAAAGTATATTAAAACACCAAATAAAAATCCTAAAAAAAATAATCAGAGGTCAAACATGAGTCCATAAGTGTTGACAAAAAAATTCAGAATTTTTAAGTCAGAAACTATTATTTAAAACTCAAAGAAATAAGCAAAATAAACTAAAAATTGTAAAAAAAAAGTAAAATTAGAAATAAAAATAAAATGAGGTAACCAATATTTTTCAAGAGGTCATTGGATCCTTCCATATTTTTTCCAGAATTTAAAAATCAAGAAAAGTATTGTTAAACAATTAAAACAATTCAAATAAAGTGAAAAATCATAAAAAAATACCAAATCATAAATTAAAATTGTGAAAAAATAAGAATCAGAAAGAGAAAAATCAAAAGTATTTTTGAAAAAATTTCAAAATTTTAGAAGTTGAAATGAAATTTTGAAGTTTAAAACAATTAAATCAAAAATCTAAAAATAAAAATAATGTCAAAATAATGTGGATCATCCGATCATAGTCAAAATGCGTTAGTAAACATATCCTAAGGACTTGGCGCGTTGTGTTTGATATGGACCTTAGTGAGAAAGACACACAATCAATTAAGGCCCAATGAAATTAAAATGAATGTCACGCCATCATTGGTTGAAGAACGACAGGTAGGTCGTCTTCAACCTCCAGACCCCTGCACGTTGGCTTTTTGTGAGTTTCTTTAAATGAAAAAACCAAAGAGTTTTGAAAATTTTGAGATAAAAAAAAAAGAGAAGCATCAAATACATTGATTCACCAAAATTGAGTTAATAGCAAGAATCACTGAACATCATAAACCATTTCAGTAATTTGAGTTAGAAGATTTGGTTCCTTAAACTACCTGAACGAAGTCAGATGAATTTGCTCTGAAACTAGACTTGGCTAGCACAATTTAGGACACCCCAAAGGTTGGTTCTTCTTCTGTTAGCTTCAGGGAAGTTCAAGGATGAATAATCAGCAAAGAATTTGGATTGAAAGATGGTTTAAAACCAAATTCAAAGTTGCAGAATTAAGAGGTATGAAGGGAGTTCAACATAGGTTCTTTGGCTATCTAAAGCTTGTCAAATGAGTGAGATATCATCCTCTATTTATAGTTGAGAAAATGGAATACTTAAGCTTGTGATATGATGAGATTTTGAGAGAATTCGAGTGAAGTTGCAAGCAAGAAAAGCGTGACTCATAATTTCTCAAAACACGGCCAAAACTTGTGTTTCAACGTGCTAATCACTTCTGGAAGATTGTTAAGTATGATTAGAAGTAAAAACATGTAACAATTTTGTGACTAGATGCCACATTAACCAATTTGCAATCTGACTGTTTTGACAAAATCAGTTTCTTGGTGCCAACTTTGAATCTATGGTGCACCCAACTCAAGAGGCTTTATCACATGATTCTTGGAGCATTTGAAAAATGAGATTACAATCTTTACAATGTTCTAAGAAAGACATAATTTGGAGATCTGAGCAAAAAATTATGTCCAATTGAATTTGTAAAAAAAAAACACGGATGTTTTATACTTAGAAAAATTCTAAGTGTTGCACTTAAAAGTGACCTATAATGTTCTCCAAAATTACACGGCCTTTCACTCAAAATTTGATCTTGATATCTGAAGATGACATGAACTAGACCTCTCAATTTGAAGTGTGGAATTGAGACCACTCAAAAATCATAAAAATCGAAAGAGTTATGGTCTTTAGAAGATGATGAACAAATTTAGGGAAATTCACAAAAGACCTATAATATTTTCAAATCTTCAACCACTTTCTAAGCATCCTCAAGTCTTACACATAAAAACAAAGTTGTAGTAGACATCCCAAAGATTATTATGAAAAAAGAATGGGCTCAACGAGATAAAAATTGACCAAGTTATGATCATTTGAAGTCAAACCCTAAAATTCAAAAGCCTTTCAAGGAGACTTATAATCTTTCTCAACTATTAGTGATCTTCCATTCAAAATTAGCCTTAGGTTTTCTGAAAAGATCTTGTTAAGGACCCCTTAAAAAGAATCATGGATTTGGAACCAATAAAAATCTCAAATAATGAGCAAGATATGGTCCTTAGAAGTCAACAAACCCTAGCTCAAAGAGTGTCAAAATGACTTGAAACCCCTTTCAACTTTTGATGATTTTTCTTGCACAATTGGATCTTTTCATATGAAGAGATGTTATTGTTGACGATGATAATATATATATATATATATATATATATATATATATATATATATATATATATATATATATATATATATATATATATATATATATATATATATATATATATATAAGAAACAACTCCAAATGTTGAAAATTTAGAGAGTTATGCACTTGTGATCACTAAATCAAGCATTTTCCCAATTTAAGTCAAACTTGTTGAACCAACCTTGAATATCTTTGAAATTTCTTGGAAAATAAAGCATGATGAATCATAAGAGGCCTTGAAATGATGTTGTCTTGAAGCACACTCAAAGATGGAGCTTAAGTCTCAATGAAGCTTGTTGAAGAAAGCATGGAAATGAACACATGAATCTATGAATTTTCTTGATGAATCCCACCACCAACTTTGAGGAGGTCTTGACCTAAATAAAGTGAGAGAGCACCTCGAACTACAAATATTTTATGTCATAGAAATGACCTTGAAGATTTGAGCTCTTGTAATCCATTAAAGCATTATTTAACCGAGAACCACCCCTCAAAACCCTAGATTAGATGGTGAGATGAATGCAATTGTAATCATCTATAATATGAACATTCAAAGAAACATATATACACATATTGATGTTAGTTAATAGAACACATGTACAAGATACACATTTCAAGATGCTTGGTGAGCCCTCATGAGCAATCTTAAAGATATGATAAAGAAAAAAAAGAGAGAACCAACCCTAATGTATGATCTTGATGTACTAATAAAAGTGAGATGATGAGAAATCATAGGGGCAAAAATTGGGGTTTAACACATTGCTTTACCAACTCTAGTATATTCCATGATAGTTACAACCATACATGTTCCACAAGTTATTATTTCATCCAACCTACCACTACAAACAAATTTTGTCCTAGCATCTTGTTTAAATACAATTTTATTCCTTCAAAAATCTCTTCATCCTCTCAATAAACCATTCCTACTTCATTCTCTACCATCAATCTAACTCCTTTCAAATCATCAGAATCCTTAACAATTTCATCTCCTTCTCAAACAACATTTATCCCCAAAACTTTCATCTCCTCAACACCTTCATCCACACCAATCCAACATAAATCCCTCCCAAGAACTTTGTATCCATGATACCCATCTCAACCATCAACATCTTTGAACCTCTCGATTCTGTATCACCTAATCCTGTTAATAACCTCTCTCTCGCCAATAATGCTCCAAACTTATATGAAGTTTCTTCTGTTAAGACGAGTTCTAATGAAATATTTCTTTTGATCATTCCACCTCTTCCATTTCCTTACCTAAACTTTACCTTAACGAAGTAATTTCTAAATTAAAAAACAAAGCAACAAAGACAGTTATAAAGATCTGTGACGAGTCAAGCTCTAGCCTTGATCCCTCCTGACTTGATGCAAGCTGGAATTGATTAAATAGATGGATGGTTGTAGAGTTTCAGAGAGTCGAAAATATATCTATACAAACCAAAGAAAAATTTGTCAAAGACGCTAAAGAAAGATATCTGGTCCTAAAGGAAAAGAATGAGATTTTCGCACAATGGGATAATTTTCACACAATGGAGGTTTGAGAGGGGTTTGTGTTTGAACTCAAATGGACTTTTTGAAATGGGGAAGGAGAAGAGTCAATGCGCGTATATGTGTTAACACGAACTGAAAATACACTTACAAGCCTCTCTCGTAAGTGTATTTTCAGTTTATTTCTTCGTGACATTGATGTTTCTTAGGCTAAACTATGGTCTGTAGTCAGGATACTTCCTGAAATATAACTACGATTCTCACCCGTAAATGCAATTTTGATTAATTCCCTTCTCTTTTATAGAGTCTTTTCCATTAAATGCCTGACTTAAGGTGCTATCGAAAATATATTTCCAATATCTGAAAACATTTATGTATTTTTATATGATACACTAAAAAAACATAGGGTATATTAAAAAATTCCCATAGTAAATTCACGAAAGCGAAAACTGGAGGCCCAAAGAAAGCCCAAACAAATTACACACAGATAGAGAAACACTTTCACCAGCACAAGTATAAACCAACACAGTTATTCTTCTTCTCGAGGTTGAACTTGTAGCAATCGACTGTCATAGCCAAATCGATCCATAGAGAACTTTCAAAGATGAACACAGACATCACAGCCTCCACAAAACCCGAATACCCAGTCATCGATCGCAACCCTCCATTCACCACCGTCGTCGGGAACTTCAACACCCTCGATTATCTCCGTTTCGTCACCATCACCGGTGTTTCCGTCACCGTCGGGTATCTCTCTGGTAATCATCACATCTTCCTCTATTTCTCTCTTGCATTGAATCAATTGAACTGTAAATCAACAATTGGGGATTTTTTTTAGGGATTAAGCCTGGAATCAGAGGACCTTCAATGGTGACCGGTGGATTGATTGGTGTCATGGGTGGATTCATGTATGCTTACCAGAATTCTGCTGGGAGAATTATGGGTTTCTTTCCCAATGACGGTGAGGTTGCTCGTTATAACAAGAAATGATTTTTTTTCTCCTTCATATTGGGTAAAAAACCCTTTTTATGAGCCATTGAATAATCAGATTTTCCTTCAGTGTTCTATATTGTTGTTCTTGTGAGAATTTTTGAGGGATTCTGTGTATCAATTTGGTTAACAAGTTAGTAGATTTATGTTATGTCTTTAAATATATTACTCCCTTTGAATACAACTCTATGAACTATATGATATGTGCTTCTCACTAGTAATGGAACAAATCTTAAGCTTGTGACCACAATAGCCTAATTTTGCATTGTTGTAGCGACATTTGTAGGTTACCTATCTGTTATTGATTTTCTCACTACGATAGATGTGTATCTTAATGACTTTGTGGTATATGTGATGAGGTATTGATTCATGTTTCTTGAGTACTATTGACCGATAGAACTAGAAGAGTTACTATAAGCTATGTTGCACCGACACATCTCAAATAGGCGTGTCTGTGTCAGTGTTGGTGTCGATGTTCAAAACCGACGCCGACTCTTGTGATTACTTTAGTTTGTTCATTTTTTTAAATTATTATTGACATATCGGTGTCGGTGTCTTGTTTATGGTTTCCATGCTTCATAGACTATAAGTACTCTACTACTTGTAGTGTTGTCAAATATTGATATCGGAAAATATCGGATCAATCGATATGAGAAATATCGGATCGCGTAACGGGCAAATATCGGAAGCCACAAAGCGGTTAAACCAGAAATAATAACTCAAAGTTAAAAACTTAAATTGAGACAAAATCAGGAAGAAAAATTGCAAACGCAACCACTTGTAGAATTTTCATGTAATGGTTAACAGAATTTCCATCCAATGTCAGTTCTTAAGGAAGTGTTTGATGTTTCACCGACACTTTCCATACTATTAACAAATGTACAAAAACAGAGGAACAAATAAAAACCTAGAACTCAACAAATGAAAACACAAAACTTAGTATAATGGAAAGGAACAAATGAAAGAAACCAAAAATCTAGAGAACAAAAGATTAAAAAAAAATCATCTAAAAAAAGAATTACCTGAAAAGAATTCTGGTGAAGAAGTGTAAAAGCTTTGAAGAAATGAAGAAGAGCAGCAATCGTAGAATGAATTAACAGGATGAGTGCGCAGGTAGGTATATATAATACCAGGAACCAACTCAGAATGAAAGAAGAGGAAGAATGAAAAGTATATATAATACTAGGCACCGACTCAGTAGTTTACATTTTCCTTTTTCAATGTTTCCACCCTTTAGATTCTACTTTTCCACCTCTTCATCTTACCCTCTTTAACGTTTTTAAAAATGATTTACTATAAAAAATAATAATAAAAATATGGCTTCCGATATTCCATTCATAACCGGTATACCGGAAAATCGCCGATATCGCGAGCATCGCGAAATTGAAATGCTATACCGGTTTTCGTATCGGATAGCCAAAATTCTGATACGCAATACCGGTATACCCGAGGTATACTGGATATTTAACAACACTGACTACTTGCTTTCTTCTCCATGGATACAAGTCTATATTATATTTATAGAAATAATACAAATTTTTGAGGCCTTGCTAATGAATTGTATCACTTAGTTTTGGGATGTTGAATCTTAAAGCGCTTTGGTTTTTTCAGTGTTATACTGCAATGCTAAATGGAACTTCATTTTTATTTTGTAGTTGATATCCACACATAGATGTCTTAAGAAAAGACAGAATCTATCTCTAATCTATTGTAAGTAGTAGGTCATTTCTTCAATTTGAGTGTATAGTAAGTAACCCTGTAACAACTCCATTGTTGTGATAACTTAGGGCGTGTTTGCAAATGTGGGGTAGGAATAGGATAACGTTCAAGCTCAACTCACGGTGGTATTGTGGAAACAGTAATATCCAAACACACACTTATTGTATCATCAGCTTGGAGGGTATAATGGGAAAGAAGGAGTTACTGATTATTCTTATCAGAGCTGCACATTGCAGAAAGATTGGAGTTTAAATTCTTAAGTTTCGTCTGTCCGTACTGGAATTATGTGGTTGTGTTAAATTGTAAGCTTCTTGTATCATATTTCCTACCTTTCCTTCCAATTATAATATGTTGCCGTGTTAGGAATGATAGCGATGATCACCAACCATCTTTATACTATCATCTGCCTTTGTACTTAAAAAATCCTCATTAGAGTTTGAACTCAAGGTTTGTTCTTGTTTTCGATATGCTTAACTTGAGTCTAGCTTTACGTAAGAATGATGCGTCATGTTGAACGTTTATGACTCTGTTTCAGTTAGGCCTGTTCAAAATAATTGGAAAACCAAACTGAATTTATCTGAACCAATTTTACAAGTTTATGATCTGAACTAGCGTTTCACACACAATGCACTAATCCAACGGAACAAAACTATTGAGAACCGAACTGCACTACACAGTTTCCTATTACACTTGTCTTCCAGCTCTAAGTCTTTCATTTGATTTATTGTCATCTATTTTTGGCTCTTTTACATTTTTACCTTAAGATACTAAAATGTTTCTTAGTAGCTCAGTGTTATGTGATTGACTCAACGATATCTTATCTGTTTTTTATTTTTTTTGTTGGTATGGTGCTTGTTCTGTTATGGGACTTGGGCTGCTTGACATTTGCTCTAAGAGCGTCCTTTCTTTGTTTAGTTTAGGCAAATATTTTGGTTTTGGCTGTTGCTAGTGGTTAAGATTATTTGTCCCTCATTGGTGTGGAGGTTGTGATCGAATTGGGCTTCTGATCTCTTCAGCTGCAGTCATCAGATCTGCTGGTTTGGTTATTATAACATATTTTTAATTTTAAAACTATGATAACAACATAATTCATATTTGAACAATTTGTCTGAGCCCTTTAAACCCTTCAAATATCTTGAATATAACTTTTTAGTTTTGCCCTTTAAACCCTTCAAATATCTTGAATATAACTTTTTAGTTTTTTCAAATTAGTGGGATTTGACTTTTGAATAAAAATAACAGTTAAATTAGTTTGTGAGTGTTGTACAAATCTCCGTAAAAGAACATAGATTTGCCACTTATCAGAACATTCTTTATCTGTGTATAGGGATTCCACCATATAAAACTAGCATGTGTATTCCAGAAACTGTACTCCTATTCTTTAAAACTTCATGCCACAATAGGAGAAGAGCCTAACTTTTTAACCATAATGAAACTGATGGTAAGGAACTCAATGTTAGAAACGCTTGGGGAAGATAAATGCATGATTAAAAAAGAAGAAGAAATAAGAATAGTAAAACAAAATATAGCGTTAAAGTCACAAAGGTATATGATTTCAAAGACAGCTAATCCATTCCCAAAAGGTTGCCGGAATATTGATACCGCTGTCAAGAAATTTTTAGATGAAGCATATGAAATTGCCTTGGCACATATAAGGAGCACCGCGAGGCAATTGATAAGATTTGTGAATGACAAGCTTTTAGCTTACTTGTTAATTCAGTGTTGATAGTGACAACATACAATATATACAAATAGCAAATATTTGAGTGCAGGAACCATAGTTTGTTTCAATATATCCATTATACTGTATAATTTGCGATTGACAACTCTCTCTCTCTCTCTCTCCCCCTCCCTCCCTCCTAACAGATCATTAAAAAGAGATTTGACTTTGACTTTAATTTGATAAAGACTTGACTTTAATCCTGAAAACTTTATCTTATACCTTTATCTCCCTACCTCTATATTTTATGAATATTATCAACTTTATTCTTGTATATTTTTAATTAAGTTATTATATATTTTTTATTTTTATTTTGTATTAGAAGACTTTACAAAAGTGTTCAGGAAATTATTTTTAACATTAACTTTATTTTATATATTAAAAGAGTTTGTAAAAGAGTTTTAGAAGTCAATATAATCATTAGTTTTTCTTTCACCAAGAACATCCATCAGTGTGGTTTTCCCGACATCAGTTACACCTACGTATTTGACGCCTGAAAATTGGGCTGTAACATATCATTAAAAAGATTTGACTTTAATCCGAAAACTTTACCTTATATCCTTACCTTTATCTTCATACCCCTATATTTTATAAATAATATCACCTTTATCCTTGTATATTTTTAATTAAGTTATTATTTTATTTTTTAAATATTTTTTTAATTTTTAATTTATATATTAGAAGACTTTGCAAAAGTGTTTTGGAAGTTATTTTTAACGTTAACTTTATTTTATATATTGGAAGACTTTACAAAAGGGTTTCGGAAGTCAATTTTTTACATTAATTTTTATTTTATGTACCGGAAGACTTTACAAAACTGTTTCTGAAATCCATCTTTTACATTAATTTTTAGGCTTAATTACATTTTTTATTCCTCATTTTCATATTTTTTGAGTTTTGGTCCTTTCATTTTAAAATCAAAGATGTTTATCCCTCTCTTTTGGTTTTTTTCCAGGATTTTAGACCCCATCACATTTGATATCATTTTTTGATGACATGACAAGTGAATTGATGATGTGTCATAATTTAGGTGTTATAATTTAAATTCCGAATCATTTATTATTATTCTTTATTCAAATAATAATAGAAATTTTTATATTTAAAATTAAATAATTAGGCTATTTAATTTTTTAATTTATTAATAATATAAAATTTGTATTATTATTTGAATAAAATAATCATAAATGACGTGGAATTTAAATTATGCCACCTAAGTTATGACACATCATCACTTCATCAACTATTTTATTAAAAGTGATATCAAGATGTGATGGGGGACTAAAATCCCGAAAAAAATCAAAATAGAAGGACCAAAATCCTTGATTTTAAAATGGTGGACCAAAATTCAAAAAAATATGAAAATGAGGGGACCAAAATTGTAATTAAGTTTAATTTTTATTGTGCACCGAAAGACTTTTCAAAAGTGTTTAAAAATCATTTTTTAACTTTTATTTTGTACACGAAAAGACTTTGCAAAAGTGTTCCGGAAGTCATTTTTTATATTAATTTTTATTTTGTGTCTCGGAAGATTTTCAAAAGTATTTCAGAAGTCATTTCTTAAATATTTTTTAACTTTTATTTTGTATACAGAAAGACTTTGCAAAAGTGTTATAGAAGTCATTTTTAGTGTTAACTTTATTTTGTGTAGTAGAAGACTTTGCAAAAGAGTTTCGGAAGTCAACTTTTTACATTAATTTTATTATGTATAAGAAGACTTTTCAAAAGTATTCGGAGGTCATTTTTTTACATTAATTTATATTTTGTGTACCAGAAGACTTTTTAAAAGTGTTCAGAAAGTTATTTTTTATTTTTTAACTTTTATTTTGTGTATCAGAGGACCTTGCAAAAGAGTTCTGATAGTCAAGTTTTTAAATATTTTTTTAACTTTTAATAAAACTTTATATAAGGGTATTTTAGTCCAAAAAAATATATGTAGGGGTAGGTGAATAAATCTTGGGGTATGAGGTCAAATTTTCCTTTAATCATTAGAGAATTTCTCATTGCACCCTTATACCTTCTCCAAGGCCTCGTGTGAAATTTCTAAAATGCCCCTATATTTGGAGATATATCTTCGAATGCATCAATTCTTCATTTTATCTAAAGGTTTATTAGAAGATGTATATGCGAAGAGGAGTTTAGGGTGTTCGCAGATACATCTCTAATTTTTTTTAATTAAAAAAATTAATTAAGAGATGCATCTTCGAACTAGGTAAACGTATTTAAATCGTGTCAGACTCTCCCTCTTTTCCTTCTTCATTTTCACTTTACAAAAACTTGCTCATTTGAGCTCGTGAGCACAATAGTTCAATTCAAGTTCTGAAACAACTTCAAATACTTTGCTTGTATCTTGCCATTCTCAACCCCCTTTAACTACTGCATTCAACACTTTACACCCCCATCAAGACATTTTTGAATAAGTTTCTCATTTAGTTTATTTTGAGTTTCAATTAATGTATTAGGTCAATTTGGTTGCTTTTAATGCATTAAATAGTATTAGCATTTGAAATAGATCATGTGTAGGATATGTTTCTATTATTTAGGTGATTTGGATGAGTTTTGGATGGTTAGGGAAAGGGCATATATGTTTTTGCCATTGAAATAAACAAAACAAAGCTTTTTTTTCCGGAGATGTATCTCTGAAATGTGTTCTTTCATGTGTTTGGAGATACATCTCCAAATTATTTCCTTCTTGATACACTAATGTGTTTTTTGATGATTTTTCAAGGATAATGGCTGCAAATAACGATAGGATGAGACTGGACCATCCCATCCTAATCGCGCTCGCTCGTCGCGAAAGGGCTCTTCAACATGATCAGGCTAGAGCCTTCCCTATGCCTCACAATAGGGAAGCATCAACCTCTAGGATACGTCTATCACATGGGTTGCTATCCCAGACTCGTGCACACCACGAAGAGGAGGCCCCAGTTGCACATGAGGTCCCACTTGCATACCCTTATTCAAGAGGGCCTACTACACTTTATTACTAATATATTTTGGAGATAATGTGGCTCCACATATATGGAACTAAGAGGTATATTTCTTAACGGTTCCATTTTTTATATTTTAACCAAATTCAATTCGACTTAGAATGTTATATTTTATTTTCAACATGAACGCGAGTGTTTAAAATCAATTGACATTCCAGAAAGATTCACATGCTTGATCAACCTCAGGAAAAGTGGTTCTTTAGTGTGCTCCGGGACTCCGGTCTTGCAGTTCTTTGTTCTTTCGAGTACAACATCATCAACCATGGCATGCATGCGACACTTGCTGAGAGAAGGCCTAGCGAAATGTCATCTTTCCACCACCCAATTAGCGAGATGACAAATAAATTAGATGATGTCCATTTCCTCATACACCTTTCCACCAGAGGAAGTTTGCTT